CATATGTATTTAGTAAACTAGCAACTCAAATATATTAAAATCATACTATTGGCTAATATTTAAATATATAGTGTTTATATCTCTTAAATTTACCATAGAGTAATTATGTTTAAATAATATACTGTTATATATTTAGATATTATACTAATATCTTACTATTAGATGTCACACAGTAAATAGCTGAAACTTTATTTTTCCATTGTCAGGCACATATCAGTCACTCCAGTTTTACTGAATGTCCATTTTTCTAGCCAGGTTAACTTTAGTTATATTTCTACCTTACTTATTTCCACATATATCTACCTTATCTAACTGTATATAAGTCTCTATTTGTATACTCTGTAACCTACAATAATACATGAGAACTAAACAGAAAACCTATGTCTTTCAAAAAAAGAAAAACACTTCTAGCCTACAAAATCTGGCTAAGCAATGACTTGCAAGAATACTGCAAGTGCCATGTGGCTGGCGCCATGAAATCAGTGCGGGTTGGTACAATGACATCATGTAAATCCACATGCGACAGTGTGAGAAAGTCACCCCCTTTAGGGCTGACACAACTGTGTGGATATAAGCTGCCCTCGAGTAGAATACGTCACTACTTCCATTTAGAAGCAATCCAACCCGAGGATAACTGTCAGCACAAAATAAAAAGGTGGCAAAGGTTCTATCAGAGTTAACTATAACCACAAATTGGAAAAAATCTGATTTTTTTCCTGATATAAGTAGGAACAATGTAATAAAATAGAAATCCACCATTTAGCCCATGACCAGAATCCTTTGCTTGCATGCTAAGAAGGTATTCTGAAATGAATGGATTAATGTTCATCCCATCCTGGACACCAGCCATTCTTACTTTCTGTTTGATAAACAAGTTCTCCAGCAGTTTAAAGGATCATGCAGTTCAGGAAGTAAAGACCAAATGCTTTTCCACACAGGCACGTTGTTTATATATAGGACACCAACCTTAAGCGGTCCGGGCATCCTGCTCATGGGGAGGGACAAAGCACTCCAGCAGGCTCCAGGGAACTCCAGGGTCCCCGGGCAGGAAGCCTCCCTACACTCCATGACTCAGAGTCCTCGCCCAACGGCACCCACAGATCCACTCAGTTGTTGGGACACAGATGTTGGCCAGGAGCACAGAGAAGCACAACAAAGCCTGAGGAACGCACATAAAAGCCATCATCGCATGCTCAGGCCAGGGACTGCGTAGTAAGCAGGATTCCACCCGGGAGCTGGAACCTCCCGGATCCTCTCTCAGCTCTGCTCTTCCTTGCCTTCAGGACGCTCCTCCTTGACAGGTCCCGAACAAAACTGGCTACAGACCCTCCCCACGCCTGACGGCAGCTTTTGCTCAGGTCCCCCTGGCCTGTGAGTAAATCCCAGAACTTGAGGTGCTCCTTGGCCTCTCTATCGGCACAGTCTGTCACTTCCCCCAGACTCCTCGACCTTTGTCCAGTTCCTCCACCCCAGCTCAGAGCTCAGCCTCTCACCTGGGACCCCACTCATTCTACCTGTTTCCATGCTGCCCCAAAGGCCATTGTTCTCCTTGGGACTGGAATCACATCTTCTCTCTCCCTGCTTTTAGTCAACCAGTGTAGGAGCCATCAGCTCTGACGCACACAGGACAGCTGCGGCCAACAACAGCAAACAGAGTAGGAATGATCTGGAACATTCCCCACACAAAGAAATTATTTCCGCCTCAAGTGACAGCTGTGCGTCGCCTTGGTCTGGTCACTACACTTCAAATACATGCACTGAGATGACACACTGTGCCCTACAAATATGCATGTTCACTATATGTCAATGAAAAATAAAACATCTAAAATAAAAATATCAGTGGATTCTTAATGCCCTTCAGATAACATCTAAACTCTGTAGAAGGACCTAGGAAATCCTGTCTGGTCTATCACCTGCCGACCTCCTTGTCCTCGTGCCCCTCATGTTCACTGGACTCCTACCACCTGGCAAAGCCCACCTCACCAAAGCTGGCACACTTGCCTGCTTGGGTCTGTCACTCGGACACTTGGCACTGTTTCTCTACCAGGGCCATCATAGCTCTCAACAGCACACAGAGTTGTGCATTTACTTTATTACTCTCTGTTTTCCCCACCGGGATGAACCCTTGACAGCAAGGACCTGCTACAGACTGTTTCTTGCCCTGTGCTTCCCACCTGGTATGTACTGGGCATTTTGTGGGATGAAGAAACAAATGAAAAGGTGGCTGAATATAATCTACACTGATGTAAAATAGAACTCCACGGGGAGGGGGGGGGGACCTGGTTGCATTTGTAAGTGTGACCTACTGCTGTGCAATGAGCTCTCATTCCCTATTTGTGTGACTTTAGAGCCGACTACTTTGGATCTTTGCCTTCAGTTTAATCACCTGGGAAATGGGTCTAGAAAGAGCCCTAGCCTTGTAGAGTTGTGAGACATAAGGAAGAAGATGTGCATAAAAATGTCACAGTGCTTGGTACATGGCGCACACCCCATAGATGCTAAGTATCAGGACAGGCTTAGGCTGATGGTTATCTTAAAAACAAAAGTGCTAGTTTTCTTTTGGAAACTCCTGTACCACCCAGGTAGTGGTCCCCCAAACCGAATGCTACCGGCTAAATTTTCCTTCTGAATTCCCGCTGAATCATGAGACCCTCTAAGCTGGAATCATACCTTCCTGCTTGCTTTCCAGAGCGCCCCAATACCTTCACAGCAGTGTTCCTATCTTCAGATTTGCTCCTTTTTATAGCATGGCATTTTGATTCAGAAATAAGCTCTGAAATCAACTTCCTTTAGGGTCTTATCTCAAGACCTTCATTAATCTTCCCCTCCCTTTCCTACCTCCCCTGACCCTAACTAATATTCAGTCTTCACAGTAGCATCCCCACAGGGAGAAGGAGTATGAGAACACAGGACCTGGGGCCAACTAGTCGACTCCAGGGCTGAGTACGTGCTAACATCCAGGGCCAACTGGTTGACCCTAGGGCCAAGTACTCACTAACAGCAACAGTAATGCCATTGCAAGCTCCTGGGCTTGCTGTGGGAATTATACGGGATAATCTATGCAAGCACTCAGCACCTTTTCTCCGCTCAGTATGTGAAAATGATGAGTCCCTGCTCAGAAACTACAGCATCTTTCCAAAGTACAAATCCCCTTTGTTGCCCTTTTCAAACACTTTTAATTAATTAATTCCAACATGCACCATTCTCCAAAGTGTCCCCACAGCAAGATCAAGAGCCCGTGCTCCAACCAAGCGGCACCTGATGCCTCCCCCTGAGCACACCACGGCTTTTGTCTCTTTAACCGTCTCCCTTGCCGACATCCCTTCCTATCCCTCTCCACCTGCTCTCCAAGACACCTTCCAGCAAGTTTTCCCTTTCATCGGGTGCTTCCTCCCTAAAATTTCCAGGTAAATTCAGTGCTCCTACCTCTAAACTTCTACATCATAACCCAGAAATCCTGAATATATGACCCTGCCGACTGTTGGTTACTTCTGTGTCCCTTCTTCTCTGTGAGCCATCAAGGGCAGAAATGTATTTGCTTATTGTTGTGCAATATCTGCTTTGCGATGAGAATTCAATCAATGATCCTTTGACTGAACTAAGACATATGTAAATTTCAGCAAGAGAACCCAAACTGCAAAACCACTACAAAGATGGCTCAAATGAAAGCAGCTTCTGCTAAAATTTGTAGATCCATCGTCTTGTCGGTTTGCCTCTCTTTGGACTTTGTGTCTCCTCGACACTATGTAATTTCCTGCTTATCTTTAGAGTTTAAACCATTTCATCCAAAGATAACTCAAGGAGAAAAAAAAAATATATATATATATATATATATGTTTAAGTCTGTCTAAATAAGCCAGTTCAAAGCTTTTACTAGCTTAATATTTTTCCTTCTCCAAGGGAATTCAAAACATCACACCAAATTTTGTGCCTTTTTAAATATTTTTTTAATTTTCAAGGTTTTAGTGGTATGGAGGTCCTTTGGAAGTGTCTTGTTCCTCCAGGACAACAGAACTTGTAAGGTATTGGTCAATCTCCTGAAGTGTGCTCTAGAAGAACCCTGATCTGTGAAACCGATCCATGAAAATAAACAAGCCCAAAGGAGCCTGGTCAGGTAATTCTGGGGACAATGCACATTCTGTCTCTTTATTGAAAAGTCTCAGAGTGGTCTAGCATTTTATGCTTCCTCAACTTATTGAAGAGACCCTTTCCCGGTGTTCCTGGGACTCACTCTGGGGAATACCACACTGCCTCATTTCTGACTGGCCCGATCCAGCTAGTCTTCTGGAGAGAAGGCTTCTTAACTTGGCTGCATGGTTGGATGGGGCCATCAGGGCACTGGCACTGTCCCCCATGTGGATCTCATCTCCTACCCCATGTGTCCCTGCCGAACTACCCTTCAGAGTACGAAGGGGAGGAGGGACCAGGGACTTGCTGGAGCTCTATGAAAGATCCTTCTTCACCCAGACGCAAAGCCTACTTCTCTGTAAATTCCACACATTCACCTTCATTGAAAGTCTTGCAGTGCCAAAGAATAAACTCAAAATTTGTTCTCACCTTTCCAGCCAGGTAGTAAACTATTACATACAGTCTTCGGTTGCTGTCGGAATGGCCACCAAAAAGCCTACTCATCTGTTCATCGGAAAAGTAAACAAAAAAGCAGAGGGAAGTCTTGCAGCTGCCCGGCATACCAAGCCACCATTAATGCTGCAAAACAATTAGAGGATAATGACCCTGTCCTTTGAAGACCGAAATAAAGCTCTCTGCAGTCACACCTGGCCAATGTGAAGAGTCCTCATTTGACTAAAAAACAACCTAAATCCCTTTTATGAGGTAAGAAGTGTGTCTTAGGTAATAAACACTTAAGTAATTAGATGGGTTTTATGGGATAACTATAAACTGAGACACGGGGAACATCATCGTGGTAATAGGCTGACGCCCAGAGAGGTGGGTATATAAGAGCCAGGGCAGAAGGGACAAGCATCGAGACACCAGGACACTTCTCCTCTCAGCCCTACACAAACCCACCTCCCAGAGCCATGGCTTGCTGCGTCGCCCGCTGCTGCAGTGTCCCCTCTGGCCCCGCCACCACCATCTGCTCCTCAGACAAGTCCTGCCGCTGCGGGGTCTGCCTGCCCAGCACCTGCCCTCACGAGATCAACCTCCTGCAGCCCACCTGCTGCGACCCCTGCCCCCCACCCTGCTGCCAGCCTGAAGTCTACGTGCCCACCTGCTGGCTTCTCAACACTTGCCACCCAACTCCTGGCATAAGTGGGATCAATGTGACCACCTTTGTTCAGCCCGGCTGTCAAAATCCCTGTGAACCCTGCTGCTAAGTGGCCACACCTTGGTAGGACCTGGATACAGCTGCTCCACATCCTCCCCATCACCTGGCTTTCCGCGCTTGCTGCTTCGCAGCCTGGAGCTAACCCAGTTCAATGCCTAGGGCCAGCTGGCCACGAATCAGCTGAACTTCCCAATGCCCCGCCCCTCTGGGGACAGGTAGAGACTGCCTACCTTTTAGGCTATTTCCCTGCTCTTTGAGAAATAACCATTTTGACTCTTCATTAATAAATTTCATTCTGGCTTAGCAAGTATGGCTTTGTGACTGTTTCTTTCTGTATTTCCCTCTCAGCAAAAGCAAAATGCCTATCTGTGCCTGAACAGCAGATCATCACACTACCCAAGGATCTCCCTAGCAAGCTGTCCTGATGGAATCAATTGAAAATTAGAGACTGGATTGTTGGGATAGGCTTAGAAGTGAAAAACTCAGATCAATTTTCAGGATTTTTTTTAATTTAGGAAATGTTCTCCAACATATCTACTATGTCATGAATTAAGCTAGAAATCTAAAGATTAATATGTTTTCAAAATACTTGATTTTAGTTTACAGTGACTATGACATTGACTCCTCTTTCTTTTAGTAGACTAAACAAATTGATCATGGCCCTGGCATTGATGCTTTTTACTTCCTTAGTCAGAGTTGTAAAGGAAATAGCAAATGCAAACTTCAAGGCAAAAGGAGATAGCGAGATAGATGTTAGGTACGTAGACAGACAGATAGTTATAGAATATATGCTGTTTAAATTTCAAAATGTATGACAGTAACAGGGACTTTGCCATTGATCCCCTCAAAATACTCCTCCTTGCTTCCAACACCTTTATCCTGCCATTCTTGTAATTCTCTGAAGCAGAGACATCTGCCTGTCCGTTGATGTCACTGAGCAGCAGCGTGCTCTATACGTTTTAGAGCACTTGGTAAAGACACTCACAAAGGTGTGGACACTTCCCAAAGTGACAAGAGTGGTGGGATAAATGTACTGAAAGTGCTGGGGAGGATTTTAAGAGACACTAATGGCAATGAATCTTTTACTGTAGTAAAAGTTTTATGAAAAAATTCATAACAACACAATAAAAGAATAACAATGGTTAATACACGGTGTGTTATCATCTTCAAAGTGGTAACTCAGGGTATGGGACATAAACAAAAAATATTTCCCCTTACAAAGAAGAAACAAGCAGACATTAGCACAAAACTTTCCTTTCAATGACGTTTTTTAATTTAAGCATTCACCATGTGTGTCAATCTCCCCTTGGAGATAGATAGATATATATAGAGAGATAGATAGATATAGATACACACGCACACACACACACACACACACACACACACATACACACATACATATGCTGTCTTCCAGAAAAATCAATTTTTAGTGAATATTAACATTTATTGAGGCTGGGTGTGACAGTGCATGCCTATAATCCCAGCACTCAGGAGGCTGAGGCAGGAGGATCCTTGTGAGTTTGAGACCAGCCTAAGCTACAAAGTGAGCTCAAGACCAACTTGAACTACACAGTGAGACCCTGTCTCAAAAAGACAAAAAACAAAATATTGAGTATTCCTTTCCTTCTTAAATGAGCTCGTGTCAGTCTGCAATAGTCCTAATTATGCATGCAGATTTACTAGTCCAAATGACATGTATTATCATGTCTTTAAAACGTCCTAACAATATCAGGCCACAGTGCAGCATTTTCTATATACCAAAAATAGTCACACGAGTCTAAGAGCCAAAATATACTGTTCCTCTTAAAAAAGCATTTCTGCTAATCATTAATTCATCACCTTGGTGGTACTGGAAACACCCAAGTACAGTAAGTTCTTTGCAGACAGAGTGCAATCCAGTTGTGCCTTTTGGTGGACTTGCCCTGGGGTTGGGAGGAGTGGTTTCTCTCCCCATTTTTGTCTCAGTTTCCTCAGAAGTGTAGTAGTTTCCTACCTGTGCCTGGCTTCCTGAGACATCAATTTCCTTGTTATTCTCTTGCCTGTTTTTGTCTGCAGGTTACAGTAAGAGCCAAATGACCCTCAGAGTAGACACCATTTGGCCTCAATGACCCATCCCAGGTGAGACTCACCATTCCTACGACAGAGTGGTTCTCAACCTTTCCCCTCAAAGGTAGCTTTTTGTTTTGTGAACTATGCATTTGTGGCTGAGCACCGTGGTGTACATGTGTCATCTGAGTTACTCCAGAGGCTGAGACAGGAGGATCCAAGTTCAAAGCCCGCCCGGACAACTTGCTGAGCATCTACCTCAAAATAAACATTTAGCAAAGTGCTAGGGATACAGCTCAGTTGCAGAGAGTTTGCTTAGCAGGCCTGAGGCACCAGGGCTAGTCCCCACTAGGAGGTAAGGGAGGGAAGAAAGGAGGGAGGGAGAAAAAGAGAGGGTGAGGGCCAGACTGAGAATTCATACTGAACTACGCCCCCATCCCATTATTTCCATTTTATATTTTAAGACAGAGTCTCACTCAGTTGCCCAAGCTAGGCTTAAATTTGCAATCCTCCTGCTCCAGATTCTCAAAAAATAAAAAACGTATTAATTCTTTCATTTTTGTCCATAAATATATTTAAAAGAATCAGTAAGAAAAGTGGGATTTGTATAAGATAATCACCATTACCATGTCAAGCTTACATGGGATAAATATTTAGTCTTTATTTTTAATATTGGAAATAACTGCAAGTATCCCACTGCTACCATAGTAATACCATTGTATTATTCATATGGGCCTTTAGCATGCAAATTCCCTTTCTTTCCGTTACACCAGAGCCCTTGCTCCTTCCCAGACAGCAAGAGGAGATTTGATGGCCCCTGGCTGTTTGTATTCAGATGTGAGTACATGCCACTAGACCACACACCCTCCACTCTCCCTTTAAATTTTGTGTTTGCTCATGTACAGTAGTGGCATTTTCTGCAGTGATTATAGTGTAAGAGGAAATGAATATATGCAAAGAGCATCAGAGACTGTCTATGTTTCGAAAGTGAGGGCAGAGATGAGGTAAGGAGAATGACCACGACACGATATAGATGTGTACCAATTCCCCAAAACAAAGGTCATGAGGACAGGCAGCAGACAGACGCTGATTTTAAAAACTCAAAAACCTTTCCAAAATAAAATAATGAAAGGAAAACCATCTTCTCATCTTAAGTCAGTCTTTAAATACTGACTTGCCTCACCAGGGCAGAATACTGGCTGGGTCGTTAACCTTGAATTGACGCACAGAATATGCGCAACTCATGCGCACTTCCAATTCTCCAGCTAAGTTTCAATAATTTAGCCCCAGGTTAAATGAAACTGCACTTCAAGTTAATAATTATTTCTTCTTGATAACAGAGTAGAAAAGGAAGGAATTTCACTTTCCCCTCAAGCGGTGCCTGCTCTCCAGGACTTCCTCTCTGTCCTTGTCCACTGTGGACTGATCATGGCTGATCTCCCAGCTGTCCTTGAGTCAGGTGCCTTTGCCTTTCCCTCTGGCCACTCTGCACCTTGGTCAGACCAAGCTTCCCTGTCTTTAAAACTATTGATCAGATTGAATTGCTCAAGGAAAGCTGAGGACGCAAGATGATTGTTTCCACTGGCTCAGCTCTTGGGAGTGGCTGCCCCCACCCTGCATAACCTGGTGCGGTTGTCCCAGCGAATCTCACTCACTGCTGACCTTGAGGTGACACAACTAGTGCTCCACTCGTAACCAGCCTTTATGCCACGGCCTCGGGCTGTCTTGCTTTAAATTGCAGCTCTATCGCTTATTAATTACGAGGCCAACTGTTACACAAGATGAAAAGCCATTTGTATCTCATAGAACTGGAGTGAAGAGTAAATTAATTAAAACAGATGCAGCCCTTAGAGCAACCTCTGCATCCACCTTTTCACACTCAGCTTTGTGATACTCAGACAGGGACTTAATAGTATTCCTTCAGCTGGTTTTCTGTAAGGTTCTACCCATAGAGGGCGCTAGAATGAGACTGCAAGTTCCTAAGAAGGAAAGAGGCACCTGTTGCTCCAGCAACCAACAATCTTCTATCTGGCAGCAATGGTAAGTTGTGATCTCCAGCTTCCTCAAACAGACAGAAAGGAAGGAAGGAACGAAGGAAGGAAGGAGAGAAGGAAGGTAGGAAGGAAAAGGGAAGGCAAAGGAAGGGATGAGAAAGGAAAGGAAGGGCAGGGGGAAAAGAGAAGTGAAGGGAAATATAGGGTTAATACCCCTTAGTTATTGCAGGCTGATCAGGTCCACAATCTCTTGCACTAGTGTACAGAGAAGGCTAAATAAAAAGAGGCAAATGGAATGATTTCAGGGCTCCAGGAGGATCAGAGCCCTCTCACACAATTTGAGATTCTCTTGGGGATAAGGCTAAGACCTTCTCTGGGTCACCCATATCTATTTAGTTACCAGAAGAATGGAGGGGAATGCTCAAGAAGGGTTGAATCACTCCAGGACTTCTCCAAGTAAGGTATTAAGTTAATCCACCCAAGAGTGAGATGCCTGAGGCTACAGTCTTTATCCAGTTGAGATCAGATCAGATCCAGGTGTCCTTGGCTGTGATCTTATTTTATCCTTTGAGGCTTTCTGGCTTCATCACCATTACAGGTTTTGGCAGGGATTAGTGACTCACAGAGGTTCACTTACTATGAATCCTCCATTTCCAGACAAGAAGACTAGGCCTTGGACAGATTCACAAGTAAACATGAAAAACTAATTGGTTAACTTAAGTCCTGCTCAGGTCTGCTTCAAGGTGGTCTCCATCAGGTAAGGGAAGGAAAGGGAAGGGAAGGGAGAGGGAAGAACAGAGAGAAGAAGGGGAGGGAGGGCAGAAGGAGAGGGAGGGAAGGAGAGAAGGAGCAAGGGCTCACTATGCCTCTTAGAAACACCAGCACCCACAGAGAAGGAAGGTGTCCCTGCAGAGACCCAAGCGCTGACCCCACAGGGCCTGCACTCTGGGCAGTGCACTTCCAAGCTCCTCAGTTCAGTTAAACCCAATCTCCTCTGTTCATTCTCCAACCCTAGAGCTGATAGCTCCTCCCTGTATCACCTCAGTTTCCTACTTTGCTGTATCTGTCCTCCAATACTTAGGGGATTAAAACTATAATCCCCTCTATTCAAACTCTCTCTGTTGAAATACTTTGCATGAAGTTGATTGCGTTTGCATTCTTCCATGAGTAAATTTGATACAAAAATAATGGGATAAAAACTGGCTTTCATTATTTTCAAAACTTCCTTCAATGTTTCTCTACTATATTCTAGCCTCTAGATTCCACCCCAAAATCCCAACACTGTAGTAGGTACTAGAAATACCGTGGTGAATAAGATAATGGCCCTGTTTTGAAGGGAGTTCTATCTGATAAAGAGAACCGATATGTGTACCAAAGAATACCACAAAAGGCTATGGGTGGATATGAGCTTCCAGTCCTGCTAGGGGTAGAGGCAGGACAGCATCACCCAAATAGTCATTGTTTTTCTCGCCCAAAATGCACTTAGTTATTTTATAAGCATTTCTGATCAAAATCAACTTAACCCAAGTCTCCCCTGAAGGCTTTCTTGATCATTTTGGTCCTATTTTGGTACAAGAAATGAATGACCCATGTAATTCCCACTTGATATTTACTTAATTCTTGTGATAAGACTATAATAGATCATTATTTTCTCCAAATTTGTGGTTGAGAAAGCTGAAGTTGCTAGAGGTTAAGTAACTTGATATAGGTCTTACAACTGTAAATTATAATCAGGATTCAAAACTAGCTCCAGGGCTGGGGATATATCTCAGCAGCATAGTGCCTGCCTGGCAAGCACAAGCTTGTAAGTTTGATGCCCAGTACCAAAACAAAACAAAACAAAACTACTTCCAAAACTACCTCCATGTCCTTACCAGGTACTTAATTATATGTTGTTGGAGTCATATGCAAAGGAGCTTCTAGCTTCTTTCATCAGACACCAGACCATGCACTCTTGGTAAACAAGGGACCATGTCGTCTATTTTTCTGTCCCCACCACACTCTTCAGAATATATTAAAGATTCAATAAATACTTGACTTAATAATGTATGTATTAGCTGATGAGTTTCCTATACTGTAATCACATACTAACTTTAGTCATAACATGTTGCCAGTAACACAGAATTAAGGTGAAAGGAATTTTGGAAAGATTCCTGTCTGTCTGTCTGTCTTCTGTCTTTCTGACCGGTGGTCATCACCAGCTTGGAAGCGCTTTTGAAAAATGAAACAAACAAGTCAGCAATCTGGTGTTTCTGGGGAAAAAATTATGCTGTTTTGCAAAGAGATGGGAGCTCACTGTTCAGGCCCAATATAGTCTCCCGATCCTGGGTTTATCTGCTCCAATTTGTGGTTTAAACAAGCAATCCTTTGTGAGACCGAGGGCTTTTCACATTTATTTGTAATTGCATGTTTAGATAATATAGAATGTAGCTGTGGAAAAGCATCTAGCAGGCTCTGCACGCCTCAGGCAGGATCATGTTCATAGCTTCATTCTGCATTGATTCCCTCAAGCCCGTGGAAAATACTGATGTGAATCTGGTAGAAAGAAGTCCCACATGTTTTCTCCTCCCAGATGCGTGAAGGGTATGATCTGAAGAGCGTGATTTCTTAGTTCTCGGGAACGTCACTCTGGATTCTCTGCACTCAGCAGTGATCGCTTGTAAGAAGACATTCTGGTTGGTAGAAAAGAGGAAAATCAAGGCAGGTATGGGGGTGTTTATGTGTTGCAGGCGCCATTTGGAGACTGCCGCAGGAAGCAAGTTTGAATGTCACAACACAACCAAAGAAAACAAGGAGAGCTCATGCCGCGGCAGAAGGGAGAAGTTAGTGCATTATTTGTGTAGGGTTATGCAGGCAACAAGGAAACATCCTGGTGGACAGAAGCCGTGTTAGCTCAAACAGGTGGGTATAAAAGACCCAGCCAGGACAACTCCATAGAGAAAAGCCTCCCCCAGCAGCAAACATCTACCTGACTACTGTCACCATGGCTTGCTCTCACTCGCGTCTCCAAAGGGGAAGACTTGTCCGCACTGGCCCTACCACCAGCCTCTGCTCCTCTGACATCTGCGGCCCATGTGAGGTCTGCCTGCCCAGCACCTGCCCGCACAAGGTCAGCCTCCTTCAACCCACCTGCCGTGACACCTGCCCCCCGCCCTGCTGTGTGCCTGACTCCTATGTGTCATCATACTGGCTGCTCACCAAGCACAACCCTGCCCCAAACCTGGCCGGGGTCTCTGTCACCACCTGTGTCCAGTCCTGTGAATGTGGCCCTGCTTGCTGCTAGTGCAGTCATTTCGGAGAGCTTGCCCAGGTTACCTGGGGACCTCCAATCGTCACTGAGGGATGCTTAGCAGATATCCTTTAATTAGATGCTCTGGAAGATGTCTTAACTCCGTGCCTTCAGTGTTCCAGAAGTGCTCCTTCCTTGTTTGGAGCAATGATTTCCAAGCAATGGGAAACAATGCCCTCATGAACCTCCTTGCTTTAAAAGTAAATAAACAGCAGTACTCCCCAAACCATGTAATGTCTTACTGTTTAATGCTATAATTGGCCAAGGACTCTTCACACAGGCATCGTGAAGCCATAAACACATCCAGCAGAATTACAGCTTCTGATGACATCAGCGTAAATCTCACAGCCCGGAGGAAGTCTCCCAGGGGCGTGCAGACATCTGGAAAAGAAAACCTGCATGTGTAATAAAATACATTCACTCTAAGCTGAGAGTTGCTTTAAATTCCAAGGTTAGAACCTACTTTTTTTTTCCTGTTATTTTTTTCTCTTTTTCTTTCTTTTTTTTTTTTTTTTTTTTTTTTTTTGGTACTAGGAATCAAACTCAAACTCAGAACCTCACACTTGCCAGGCAGGCTCTGTGCCACTGAGCTACATCTGGGCCCTTTCCTGCCTATTTAAATAAATTCATGCTTCCTTTAGGAGGGAGGGAAGCTGGAAACTAGACATCAGCATACATTCTAATCTGTAATTTGATCCAGTTCAGTGTCTACTGGGTTCCAGGCATAGTCCCAGGTGCTTGAAAGAGGCAAGATTAAGATAAAATTCCCACTTTCCAGGATCCTGTATTGGAGAACGCCAAAGGTAAGAGATTATCATATACACCAGAACGCAGCGTCTACACGGAAGGACGGTGAGCCCATTCTGCAGGGCAGAGGAGAAAAGGAAAACAACGGAAGGGTCACCTCATGTCTTTATGGAGATATTGGAGCGGAGGCTGGAGGAGGGAGCAGGATTGGGAAGCAACAGCTCAATCGCAGAAGGACACTTTAACCCAAAGAAGACATACAGGGAGGTCACGGGGGGTGGCAAGGACCCGGGAAGCTTTACCTCCATTTTTCTCTGATGTGCCTTACGGTGAATTGCAGTATCTAAGCCCAGAGCGAACCCATTCCACACAAAGGCTCTTCTCACATACAGTATCTAACCCTCATGATAACAGGTAGTATTTTCCACTGGTATTTTTTTTTAGTCAACTATCTCTTCTTTTAAAACTCATATGGGTTTTTGATGACATCCTCCCCAAAACAATTCAGCAAGGGATCTGTTCTTCACCTTTATGCAACAAACACTTGCCGTTTAGCAAGTTATGGAAGGCAGACTCCACCAAGAAGTTTCGCGCGGAGGTTTGCAAAGATGTCAGAACATGGACTGTTGCCCCCAGGAGATTGTCCAGTCTGACTCCTTCAACTGCCAACCTTCCAGAAAGAAAATCAAGAACCACTGAACTGAAGGTGCTGTGTACGGCATTCCTCAAAGGAATCAGTCATCAGCTGAAGAGCCAAGAGATAAAACCAAACAAACACGCTGAGTCGGAAGCCCATGAAAAATGATGTACGTGAACGCCACAGCTCTAAGCTACATTAGAGCAAATCCCCTTCCAAAGCCCACTGTTAATCTCTGAACTGTGGGATTGCTCCTATTCCTTCAGTTTCCTCTGATTTTAAAGTCTGTGCATTGCTCAAGTAAAAATGAAGACTGAGCTGGCTTTCTTTGAGTGGTATATTTCAAAAAGGATTGCAACTGGGTGGATCTTTCCTCAGATAATTTTGACTCACTACAAGGTTGGTATAACTTTAAAAATGCTGACACTATAAAGACAGTGTAGCACAATCTTTGGAAACTCACAGTCGATTTACTTATAATAATGAAAATGAGTTTAGCCCTATACCATTCTGTCACCTTGCTTGCTCTCTAGAATCTGAATTATATCATCAGTAAACAAGACTAATATGCTTGAGATGCACAGAGTAATCCAATGAAACATTCACCTTTAAGTACTCCTATCCTTGTTGACCTTATTGAATTGAAAATGATCCAATTAACCATTTGAGTTGTTTGCTCTAAAATTGTTATTAGAAATCACATCATGTTGTGTATATTGTTTAAAACTGAGGAGGAAGAAACGAGAAGGTCTTAACCTGCAAAACCATAGCAGAAGTCACTTGGAATGATCACCACAGTTCATGCAAGCTTGGGTATACCAGAAGCCTGTGAAGATAAAATATGATGATCTTGTGACAAAAATAACAAGTCAGTGAGTCAAAAACTTGATTGGTTTAATAAGGGCTGGAACTCTTAATACACAAGAAAATTCCAAACTGATTACAAAATCTCAGTGGAAAAGAGTGTCATAAACAAAACGAAGGGTGGAAAGCCTCCTGGTTGGGCCCAGCCCGCTGGGCTGGGTATATAAAAGCCCCAAAGCGAGAGAAGACGGCATTTGAACCTCAGAAGCCTCACCTTTCTAAGAAAACCAGCCCCAACCAGACCTCCTGTGCCATGGCTTGCTGCGTCGCCCGCTGCTGCAGTGTCCCCTCCGGCCCCGCCACCACCATCTGCTCCTCAGACAAGTCCTGCCGCTGCGGGGTCTGCCTGCCCAGCACCTGCCCTCACACCGTCTGGCAACTGGAGCCCACCTGCTGCGACAACACACCCCCACCCTGCCACGTTCCCCAGCCCTGTGTGCCCACCTGCTTCCTGCTGAACTCCTGCCAGCCGACGCCAGGCCTGGAGACCATCAACCTCACTACCTTCACCCAGCGCTGCTGCGACCCCTGCCTCCCAAGCAACTGCTGACCTGTGAGGGGGCCCAACATGATGACACCAGCAGCCCTCTAGTCAGTATCTATCTAGTCAGTCTTCACTTGCCACGGAAAGTTAGCAGATGTTAAGGTAGACCAGATGGCCTAGAAGCAGGAACCCTACCTTTGCCTCTAACAGGAAGAAATCCAAGAAACTCCTCTATGACTGAATAACAATTTGGTTGTTATTCAGAAGAAATTCCTCTTGACTGAATAACAATTTGGTTCAGAAGAAATTCCTCTTGACTGAATAACAATTTGGTTCATCTGGCCAACTGAAAGTCTTCCATTATCGAAATGCTATGAAAATCTTTAAGACTTCAGACCATGTTTTCTTGGTCATGTTGCATCCTGGATCTTATTTCCTGTATTCAATAGTTTCATAAAAGCAAAAGAATCTGCTGACAGGTTTTCTAATAAACTTTATTTCCCTGGCCACACGTGTTCTTTGTTTATGTTAGAGTTGGGGGTATATTTCTTCCATTTAAAAACACAGATAAAGATAATATTTTAAGTTTCATTAAGGAATTACTGAAACTCACTAACATGGCCTGCTAACTTTTCATTGGTTATCTTTCATGTTCACTTTCTGGGTCTTCTCCTCCTCGGGTAAATACCATGTTGGAATAAGCCAGTGTTTATTTCTCTAGTTTTTTCTGGGTGAATCACGTGTATTCATTCATTTAACCCTCAAAGTAGCATTAGTAGATGGGAGCAACGGGGATTTAAGAGCAATCCAGCATGCTCGAAGTCAGAAACCTAGTTACTAAGAAAGCCAGAATTAACTCCTGGTACATCTGGCTCTAAGGTGCCTTTCTTTCTACATCTCAGAGCCTCCAATGCGAACATAGGTGGAAGCTTAATGAACAAAGTTGTGATGTCAACTTAACATGTACAAGAGGAATCAAAACCGTAAGATTTTTTTTTTTTTTTTGGACAGGGTCTCTCTATGTAGTTCAGGCTGGCCTTGAACTCACTATGTAATCCAATACAGTCAGGTGAGAGCTTGAGAGCTAGAGCTAAAATATTGATTAAACATGACTTGCTGCATTAATTAACTTTATTAACCTGCTTAACTTTATCTCATGCAGATTATGCTTTTCTGAGCCTAAAGAGGATTCGTGTGCGATATGTTTTCTGTGCAATATACACGTTTATAATACATGCAAACACATACACTTACATACAATACACATGTAAAAACACAAGTCCACACACACAAAAAAGCTGGGCATAGTAGCACACGCCTGTAATCCCAGCACTTGGGAGGCTGAGGCAGGAGGATCACTGCAAGTTCAAGACCAGCCTGGGCTACTAAGTGAGCTCAAGGCCAGTCTGAACTGCATAGCAAGACCCTGTCTCAAAAAAAAAAAAAGAAAAGAAAAGAAAAAAGAAAGTCCAAATCTGAAAAAATCACTGAGATAAAATTGGGAGAATATGTGTGGGTTGGGAAAAAGTAGGGCAAGAAAGAAGAAAAGCAAATGCTTTTAAACAAATGCATTTTAAGTGTCCTTGAAAAACCTGGTGGTCTCTCCAGAGAGAGATTTCTTCAAAGATCTCCACAGGCTTCTTAAGAGTCAGACTTTGAATGAACAGAGGTCTAGCGGGGATACATCTAGGATCCTGTGGCAAAGGTATCTGGCAGATTTGCTCATTCATTCGGCCAATATTTCCCAAGTGTTTCCCCTGTGCCTGGCACCATCTTTGAGCTAGAAGGGTAAATAAAAAAGAAATGCTATTATGGGGGATAGGAAGGGAAAAGGATCGGGTCAAGAGATAGAAAACAATCAAGATATGTCACCAGGCCGATCACTTCCCCGCAATGAACACCACTGCTCTGGGCAGTAGGCACATATTAAGAAAATTTCAAAAATTTCACAAAAGAAACCGTTTCCCTAAAGCACCCTGAAACTTCTCCCAAATCTGGGGAAGAAGACAGGCAAGTTATTGTAATCACAACACATGCGTGTTAATTTCTCTCACGTAGACCTGTGCTGCTCTCTGACTCCCACTGCGGCTGAGGGTCGAGGAGCGGCTAGGCCTGAACGCAGGGCGGGGAGCCAGCTCCAGCGCAGGGCCACAGTACCAGGGAGCCTCTTCGCTCTCTGGCATAGTCTTCAAGGAGGCACAGGCAGGAGGAGGAGTGAGAGCTGCCGGTGCAGATGGAGCAGCAGCTTAATAAGTCACAAGGGTGTGGGGAGCTACCGGAGGACCCTGGGAAGAAGGGTGGATGGAAGAAGCTTCAATGAAAGTCTCAAAGCCATGAAAGATTTGAAGTCGGGGCTAATAATCATACTATGCTGCTGTTTCTTCCATTGTCAATCTCTGATTTACGTCTTACTGCCACAGAGATCCCTCATGACTAAAGAGAATAATAATTAAAACTGGACAAATGTGTGCGTGTATAGATTTTCATCACTTTGAAAATCTACCATATAAACAAGTATTGCACCAGGCGTGGTGGCGCACACCTGAAATCCCAGCACTCAGAAGGCTGAGGCAGGAGGATCGTTGCGAGACCAGCCTGGGCTACCTAAATGAGCTGGAGGCCAACCTGAACTGCATGGTGAGTCCCTGTCTCAAAAAGACAAAAAGAGGGGCTGGGGATTTAGCTCAGTGGCACAGCGCCTGCCTGGCAAGCACAATGTCATGAGTTCAATTCCTGGTACCGGAAGAAAAACAAAAACAAAAAAGACAAAAGTAAAAATAAAAATAAACAAGAATTGCCATATTTTCCTGCCTTTACTCAAAGGAAAAGAGAGACCTTTTATTTCAAGAAAAAAATAGGTTTTGTAGCTCTGACACATGGTTTAAACCCCCATTAAAAACCACAAGTAGGGTATCACGATCCCAGTGAGTCACCAAGTCATCTGAGGGCAGTTACGTCACCACTCTAGGACTCTTCATCTTTGGTTATAAACAAAGGAGAGTAATCCCCAGGTTTCTAAGGCCTCTGAAGAGGAAATATATTTTAATAAAGTACTATAGATCTTGTCAACAAAAAGGATGAGCTTATCACCCACCACACACTTGCCATTTTACAACTGCTCCTGCTCTACAATCTTAAATCGTAACTACAGAAACAGGACGTTCAACATAAATAACAATTCTTTTAACCTTTTGTGGCAAACTCTAAGGACCAGTAAGTTCTGAGTAAGAAACTGACGTCCTTCTGCCATGAAATTCTAATTGTAACTGTCTGAAAGCCATTTTTCCTCTGCCATATTTCATTTGAAATGGCAAAATAACTTTCTTCCTTTTATTTTTATGATTTTTTTCTCTTCCTACTATTTTTTCTCTTTCCTACTTATTTTTTTCCTTTCTACTATCAGATAGTGTAACAGCAACTTATAATAATATATTATGTATGTGGTAAATTTTCTCACCAGGCCATAAATTCCATGAGAGCAGGGATAACGTTTATTTCACTCATTGAGGTAGATCCAGCATTTGTCAGTGTCTGGCACACGGTGATTGCTCAATGAATGTCTATAAAATTGACTTGTTAGCTATTGGAGGAAATATTTATCAGTCCTAAATGCCTCCCTCTATTTCAGAGTGCACAGCCTGGCAGACGTTTACGCAGATAAACCTGGGGGAAGTCCTGGGCCATCCGCCCATGTCGTCAATCCTCCATTTCCAATCTGAGGTGCAGGTAACTTTTTCAGATTTTTGATTTATAAATTCTTATGCCACAGCTTTCTCTCCTTGTATGTTTGAATATTTATTTATTCGTTATAAGCTTTTTTTTTTTTTGGTACCGGGAATCAAACTCAGGACTTTGCATTTCCTAGGCAGGTGCTTGTGCCGCTGAGCTAGATCCCGGGATCTTGTCATAAGCTTCAGCGATTAATATTCGCTATTTCCCACAAGGTCACTCCCTTACTTACCATTGGCCCCGTGCTGCACTTTCTCCTGTTGGTTATTTCACCTTTATTTTGCCTTGAAGTGGATCCACAGCTTACTTGAGTGGTGATAATAATTTATCTCCGGGTAGCTCTTTACGGTTGTCTTTGGACTTCTCCACTTTTTATCCCATGTAACCCTCACAATAACCTTCTAAGTGGAGCAATGTAGACATTATTACCTTTGTTTTGCAGAAAGAAAGATGAGGCTCTAAAAAGTGAATCGCGCCCCTAACGAGAAAGGAAACCAGCAGCACCTGGATGAGGAAAGAGCTCTTTGGCTCTTAACGTGGTCCCCTTGGTCCTACTTCCCCATTCCCAAAACAAATGAGTGTGCTCCCCACGGTGCACTGGTAGACTCAGAGGAGGAGGCGGAGCGGCATGTGAACAGCCAGGGCTTGAAGGAGGAGCAAGTCCGCCCACGCTGAGAATGATTTGAGGTGTAAGGCTAATACTGGCCAGGAACCTACCTAATGCTCACGCTGAAACTGAGTACTGCCTGAATGCAAATGGTGCACTGGAAGTAGAATATGGGTCTTTCCTGCCATAGCTACCTTCAGTTTGGGGAGAAAATACGATACACTCGTGAAGAGGGGAATTAAATCAAAGGTAACATGATAATCTAGCTCAGGCCCAAAATTTGCTTTCCATTGGTAGCAATTTTACTTGAATTTTCACGTTGTGGGTAGAAGTCATTCTTTCATGGAGTCTGTAGGCATAAGGAAAAAAAAATCTACTTGCCTACAATTAATAGCACAGGATAATTCTCAATGGAAGCTAATTCTCAATGGAAAGATAAATATACACAAGAATGTTTTAACGTAATTATTTATTAAAGGAACACAACATAATGAGGAAATTTCATTTTCACTCATCAAATATCACTTCTAAAATATCCACAAAAGTTATAAGGAAGTGGGAGTTCTCAGTCAAACATAGCTGATAAAACAGGTAGAAAAACAACAGGTAAATAAAACCCTTCTAGAGAGCTGTCAGGCAATGACTACTAAAGCCTGAAAAATATTGAAAATTAGCATCTGTTACAGTTCTGCCTAATTATTGTTTCTGTTTCTGAAATACTCAGAAATGTGCATGGGATTTATGCACACAGTTGCTCTTTTACCACAATTATCACAGAAAAACATTGAAAATAACCTACTTGCTTAATAATATGGAAATTTTAAGTAACGTAGAAATGTAATTATATGAGAAATGCTAAGAAAAATTAGAAATAACATTATTAAATATACTCAAGAATATAAGATAATGAAAATATATATTTTTAAATGAAAGAGTGAGTCATAGAGCCTAAACTGCAATGTGATTCTCGTAATGTAATGAAAGGGTCAAAGCAATATATAAAAACGATTCTCTGTATGTATATATATAAAATACTAATAGATAACCTCTACTGATGAGATCATGAGTGATTTGTTTTTATACATTTCTATATCATCCAATATTTTAATGAATATATAGTATGTTATAATTAAAAACTGAAATCATAAATATTTTTAAAATTTTCCCAGCTGG